CTGTCAGCATCAAAAATTACTGCTTTATGGAAATAACAGTTTCTTTTAAAAAGCAAAGTCTCCACATGTCCACATTTAGGTTTCAACTGCCGTGCAAATTCCTGCTAATGTAGGTGTCTTACTGGAGAAATGCCTACCCATTGCAGGAAGTCCCCACCTTTTAATAGGGCAGAACCTGGAGAAATCCTCCTTCAGCAAGGGATTTGTTCTGGGTTGTAAGAAGATTATCTCCTCTTCAGTGGCCTCAGGTGCTACAATCAGTCTGTCACTGACTGCTAAATGGAGCAAGGTGAACTACTGTGCTACAGCAACACGTGTGGCTGCTCTCCTAGGAATTACCTTGCTTGAGCTCTAAAATATGAGGTGTCTGGCAGAGATGTCAGTGAGAAGACCCTGCAAGGTTCTCAAAAAAATGAGGTGTATCTGCTGAATGTTCAGGACACAGGCAGCAAACTTTTATCACACTACCATTTAGGAATGTGGATATACCGAGAGCTCAGTACTCTCTTTTGTTAGAGGCAAGCAAAAGGGAAGGAGGGAACCACTCCAGAAATTTATTTCCTATATAAACACATTTACAACCTGCTGATACAAAAGGAACAGCCAAGGAGACCAGAGAACCAGAACAGCTCTCCTAGATCATCAACTCTACTCCCAGGCATAGAGCCCCTATTTTGCAAACAAAGATGGAAATGGGGGGGGAAGGTGGTGGGCAGAGGGAGAAACAAGAAAAAAACAAAACAAAACAAAACCCAAACAAAAACAACACACAAATACATATACCCCCACATAAAAAAAAGCCTGGAAGATGCCATTTTCTCTTTAAAATTAGCACTAGCACAAACCTGAAAGGAAACTTTTCAAACAGAAGCAATGCACTGAAATACTATCCCACCTAAGCACAGACTCACTTGCAAAGACATTTAGTAATCCTCACACAATAGTAAGAGTCACAAGTAAAGACCATCTAATCTTTTGTCAAAGTAAGATTTTTGCAGTGATCACTGCTCAAAGATTTTGTAAATCATTGCTCAAGGTATCTTCACCACCTGCGACAATTTAGAAGATCACTATATTTATTTTCCTCAGGTGAAATCAGTAGGCTTTCTATAAGCAAACCAAAAAATATTTTATTTTCTCTGAGAGTAAAACATCAAAAAATACATTATTTTGATTTTAAAAGGTTATCTGTCTCTTCAGAAAAGACTAAAAAGACTAATTACTAAAACATCCCAAATACAAACAAATATTAGAAAAAAACAGTCAAATACTATTTCCAACTCTCTTTATAATACATCAAAGCAAACAAGCAAAAAAATCCTTAGCACAAAAAAGTCAGAGGCAAATTTAAATTTAAAAGGATGTCTTAATAAAAGATAAGATTATAGTAACACTACCACAGTTAATGGAAATCAACAGATTAAAAAAAGGATTTGAGTATTATTCATCCAGCTTCCCAGAATAAACAAAATATTCTGGATCACTCTTATGTCACCACTCATTAAAAGCCAATCTAACTAATCAGCGTCAGATGTTTTTTTTCCCCTTCAAACATTTTAAATCATAGAAGGAAGAATAATTCTCCACTTCTTATTTCCTTGAAATCTGTTTTTACTGATCAGTGAGCTGAATGTCACAGGCACACCAAAGAGATCATTTATCTGGGTATAATAAAAAACCACCACAGAACAAATTAGTACATCTCAATAAAACACCTTTGGAGTAAGGATGTTTTTAGTAAATCAGATACAGAACAATAAAGATCATTTTATTTTTTAAAATAATACATATTTTATTAATAAATAATAAAAATTAATCCAGTTACAAATCAGTCACAGTAGATGCCCATAAGCAAGAGTTCTTTACAAAAGTAGTCCAGATTTAGAAATCTGATTGTCTTAGAAAAAATCTGTGAAGAACAATCAATGCAACGTTACAAAAGAGGCAAGTAACATAGGAGATAAATATCATTATGCTACATATTAAGAAAGATTTTGTATGTAAATCAAGGAAAAACAAACTAAAATAAGAAATTATTCCTTCTATCAGGCAAAGATAAGTGCCCTGAAATATCAGCATTTACAAATATTGAGCACTAACAAATTAAAAAAGGGGGTAACAGGGGAGCTAAACTGAGAAAGATCCTGAGAGAACAAGATGATATAGTTTTTATTTTGTTTTTAAGAAAATACCAAGTTTGAAATACACTTAAAATAACTGGCTAGCCTTAGCCTAAAACAGAGAATATGGCAGGGAATAAAAGGAAGGTGGAATATAATAATCTTAAAATATGCGAGTCTCATAAGGAGGACAGTGATTAATTGTGCTTCACATCTACAGATGGCAGTACAAAAACTGATCAGCAGGGAAATTTAGAATACATATTGTTAGAAAGTTGATCCAAATAAAGTTTGTTAAGTTGCAGAACAACTTTGTGTCAAAAAGTCACTGGAGCTTTCAAGAACATTCAAGACAAACATTGTGCATGGACTTATTTTGGTTTTGACTCAGCATAAAAATGGGGGACAGACAATTTTAACACTGAAAATCTCTTCTAATATTACATGTTTAAGTCCAATAAATATGTATCAATACCCCATCTGAGTTGGCAGCCTTGATGAAAACACAGGCCAATATTTTTGAACTTATCTTGTTATTTTAGTAGGTAGTTTATAACATACGGACAACTGTAGTAATTTTCCCAGCTTAGTGAGGTTAATGAGAAAGTGATACACTCCTCCATTTTCCCACTAAGACTTTTATCTGCACTGCAAGTCTCCATTTGTTCAATAAATAGTTTTTATACAGAGAAAGCACTCTCATCATCAGAAGTTCAACACTGATAAAAGTCATGGATCACCATCAAACAAGATTACCTAGATTTTAAGAAAAGCGTGTTTGGAGAGGAATTTTTATTTTATTTTAAACAGTTTCTGGGAGGAGGGAGTGACTACATTCAGCAGTACATCCAAAGGGAAAGTGGAATGAAATGCCAGTCCTTCATGGGCAATTCCCAAAACAACATCTCAAAGCAGCAATGAAAGGAATAAAGTTGAGTCAGGGACAAGGCATGGTGACCATACAGAATAGAAAGACAAAGACTGAAACATTCCAATTTTATTATGGAACTGATTTAGTAAAAAATCTGGCATAAACTCAGTATGTGGGAACCCACATACTCTCATCCATGCAAACCAGAGAATCACTCATTCAAGATCACTAACCCGGCAAACCCTCTCAGTCAAAACTATTACGCTGTATGTCTAGTTTGATTTTGACTCTGCATCAAAATGGGGGGATGAAGTCTTCGGTCTTTGACAAATTCACCAAGGATCTCCTTTCATCCTATTGGAGATTCTCTGCATGAAGGGTTGTCTCTCTTTCTTAGTGATCAAGATTCTGTTAAATTAAGGTTTTGTAGCATATTGTAACAAAACACTGCAAGGAAAATGCACAGAAATATACACAATTTCAATAAACAACCACTTCCTCAATAACTGGAATTCAAAGTAAGATTTAAACAATGTTTTCTTTTTGCTCCTACTTTGTTTAATGCAATCTAACTTAATGCTTAAAACCCCCCATTCTTCAAGATGTGTTTTTAATCCTCTGTTCCTGAAAAATAATATGTCAATATTTTTAATGATCATCCTATAATTGTTCTCTTCAAACAAACCTTGAACAAACAATACAAGGCTACTCCTGCCAACTCACTGATCACAGGTCAAAGAATGTAGTAATCCTGTATTTTTAGCTCTTGAAGATTTTTTATTGTTACATACTGTACAACAAAAATCTTTAGCAGTAAGCACGGGACAGCTGTATTTCAAACCATTAGGCAACACATAACTTGAAACAGTATACGACACAATGTCTTTTCACTTCTTGTATTTCCAGAGGCATTATTTATAAGCCTGCCTTCAATACTACTGAAAGTACTTTATTACAAACTGAATACATAGAAATTTCAGTTGCCAAGCATACAAAAGAGCAAACGGCCATGGAAACAAACAGAGAAGAGATATTCAATGGTGTGCTGGATTTATTTTTTCATATAACATAACCAAAATCTGCTCTGAATTTGGTGGAATGGACAACATCTGACAAAATTTATTAAAGTTTTACCTGCAATCCTAAGTGGACTTAATCACACAAAAAATCAGATGTAGAATTTGCTGAAGTAGAAAACTGTGACCATGTAGGCTCTGCAGGACCAACACTAGCTAAATGCCTTACCTCCAACACATCGGAGGAAGGCATCTGAACTGAGCTCCATCAACACCAAATGTGTAAAGTGGATAAAAATACAACCTGTAAATATTTTAAAAGTAAAACCAAATTGTGTTTCCTGAACATTGAGCCTGTATGTGCAGCTGAACAGCCTTTGCAAGCTTTTCTCCCCTTTATGAGGCATTAAGAAATAATCAGTATAACACTGTAAGTGGAAGAAACAGAAAAGCTGCAGCTATCAATAAACCTTTAAAATGTTTGAGGAGTTATTTATGTTGCCTAAATCTGTTATCCTCCTAAATGGAACTAACAGTCTTAGTTCACTATTTAGAATCAAAAGATGCATCTAGAAGGTGAATGAGTTGTTCAAACTTCTCACAGGACACATTGATCTCCCCATGTTAGATTGGGAGTTAGTGAGATGGTCCAATGAGGGGAAAAAACACCAAACAACTCAAATTAAAAAAAAAAAAAAAAGCCATAATACATACACACACTTGCTTGGGAGTCCCTGCATGTTCCTAAATGAAGATTTTTTTTTTCACCTACAATATCATTAGGGGATAAAAGAACACAAACCAATTCTATCAACCAGGTCTAAGACATTACTGAATGCTTACTTTGGACAAACTTTGTTCAGATTGTTACATTTTAATAAAATGTTTTGTATAACAGAAGATAAAGAGACAGATTGAGATAACAGATTTGAAAGCTACATTTCAACTATAAGTCTTTCATAAAATTTAAATTCTGCTGTTTCCAACACAAACCTTTAAAATGTTAGGCTCATACTAGGGCAAGTTAAAAGACTGTGTATTGCAGAGAGATGCTGGTTCAGAAATTCCAGAACTCCTGTAAAATTAAAAAAGTAGGAAAACATAAGAGTAAGTGTTCTCAGATAAAAAGAAATCCATAGTACTGTCATTAACTGTAGGTTACTTGGATAAATTAAGTCTGGATTTTTATCCAAGTAATCCTGAATGCTCTATTATATATTAAGCTAATCAGTGGGAATGCATCTGAAGATTTATTTAATTACACAATCTTCTTTCTCTTTTCAAAGAAATTATATACGAATTCTAAAATACATTAAAATATATTACAATAAGTACTGTAATTAATCTCTGCTTTTTAATTCCGACCTTCAATTTTTAATCACTATTTGCAATATTAGCAGAAAACAACTCAAAAACCTTCAGTTTATACATACTGAAAACAAACCCATGAAAGGCCAAAAAGCCCTGTGCAGTTTTTCTCTACTCTGAGCCATTCCTTATGCATCCAGTGCAATGTCCCACAACTTTTTTACCTTAGGTGTTTTTCAATGGAGAGACTCTTTCAGTTGGTGCTTTTTGTGTGCTCCTCCAGCTGCCCAGTGGCATGCTTTCCATGACAGATGCTCTGGCTTCATTCTTAACATATGTTCCAGATGATAATTCCATCTTCTTTTCTGGATAACTTTAGAGCCAAGGGGTTTTTGAGCTGTCTAATGAATCTTGGCATCTGTTATAAATTCATTCCATTTAATACATAGTATTTTTCTAAGGCATTTGCTTTCAAAGGCATTTAGATGTCTGTACCTTTGTTGGATTTCCAGCTTTCACATCCATATGTTGAGATGGAAAGCAATATCTGAGTTGAAGTTTCACACCCTGGTCTTTAAAACATGGATTTTTATGACCATATCTTATTTAGTTCATAAATGAAACTGTTGCCTTGCCAATTTGTAATACTAGTTCCTTACTGAAATCCCCAGATGACAGGCACTTTACTACCGAAACACATAAATTTATTTTTTTCTTGTACTTCCTTACTTTCCAGTGTAGAATTCGAGCTTAGAGTTTCCAGGGATTAATTTTATTTTTCTTTTTTTTCCTCTTATAATTACATAATAGGATTGTAAACAAAGCAAATAAAAAGCCCAAACAAAAAAATAATAGTTTTCATTTAATTTCATTTTCTAATCAGTGTAAGACAAGGATGTGTTGCAGCATTAGAGAAGCTACTGAAATTACCACGGAATTCTTCTTTGTTATCGAGACTTTTCATGTGTTTTAAAGTAATTAAAAATTACCAGTCTCTCCAATGTGAACTTTCAGTATTTTTTTTCCAAAACCCTATCTTTACATTAAACTTTCTCTATTTTTTTATTTTTTGATGCTGCACCTAGTGACACAGTTACTTCATTTCCACACCAAAGTTGCTCACTTTCCCAGCCTATCTAAGCCATCTTTTAAACATCTCCATCCTCTGTATACTTCCTATTTTATCAAGTGCTCTACTCTTGACAGGTTCATCAGCTGCTTAGAACCATGAAAAAATAGTAGCTTTTACCAGGGACTCTTTCAAACAAGACCAGGGTACAACTGTATCCGAGGCAGATGTAGCAAAACTAATGACAGACTTTTACACTAGGAATATCCAGTAAGAGTTAAAGTATGAACCAAAAGGAAAATATCTGTAAAGCATTTCAATTCTTCCATTTTTATCATTTCAAACTAGGAACAGAATCTCTCACTATGGTAGAAGCTGAAACCATCAATGCATATTTTTCTTTCAGAAAGAAAAGTGCTCTTCTCCATGGCATGAGCATGAAAGGCTATTTCCTTGAGGACTGTCCTTACAACAGGCTCTGAGAAAGCCCTCCTGATCTTTACTGCTCTTGGTACCCGCTCCATATCCCAGGCTCCACAGCAGCTCACACCGTTCCACAGTCAAAAAGAAACAGCAACACAGTTAAAACTGACAAAAAAGATATCTCTTCTCATAATGAGGACTTAAGGAAACTGCCAACTTCACATGCTTTGTTGAGTTCTATCTTTCTGATTTTAAGCCACTGTAAGGCTTTATGTGCACTAAAACCTTTTGTATTTCAGATGGTGCACTTTTAAACACCATTCTCTTCCTATATGGTGTGCTCTAAACAGCATTCAATACTGTGTAACACTGGTTAAATCACGATGTCTCAAATTTCTCAGTAGAGAGTAATTACTAATATTTATCTATTCTAAGGAAAGATTAAAATGTTAATAAATGGATTAATTTCTTGGTTTGTGTATTAAAAAATACACACCCTAAGTGAAGAAATACAAACAGATTTTCAAGGAACTCCAAAGATGAGAAGTTATTTGGAGCATTTTTAAATATGTCAATTGGCAAAAGAGAGATCATGGTAAGCCACCCTTTTTATAAACCATGTATCTAATCAGTATAAAGTTTTCCTCTATGCTAAAGCTTCAAATACATTGACAGGAACAGTCTACCAGCCACAGATGGCTTTTAGGGAATATAGCACATTGCAAGAAAGGAAAGGCTATTAATATGCTAGAGCTATAATGCAGGACTCTATTTACTACCAAAATACAAATGCCTATTGTGAGGTAATTTACCAGTGACAATTATTTCACTGAATATGATGACCTGTGATCTTCTATCCAGCAAAACTCACTTTATTATAGAGATACTTTTCTTCTGTAAGGAAAAGTCAGACACACTATGGGTGACTAGACAGTGATGCTTTGGTACTCATGTTGCCTCTCAATAAAAAACTTTTTTCCCCTCATTTATTTTACCCAGCTCTAGCGCACCAACTTGTTACCTTCTTTACAGCAAAACTCATTAAAAGAAACAAACACAAATTCACTGCTTATATAAGAATAAGTTAAATTATTGAAGTATGTTCTTCAAAAGCACACAAAATACCTATTAATGTTAGAATTTTCTAGAATGTGACCTTGTTTGAGTGGGTCAAGTTTTTATTATCAAAGGCAAATAACAATAATAAATATTACCTATTTATGGTAGATTATTTAAAACCTTATTACCAATACATTCAACATTTGTGTCCTATCTGTTAATGACTACACTGATACTTGGGAGGCTGGTACAAAATATATATCTCACTGAGACTAATACATACATGTGTATTACACAGCTATTATATACCACAAAAAATGCACTATCACCATAACTGTTTCTCTAAGTCTTCATTTGTAGACTGAATACTACCTGCAGCTATCTTCTTCTCTACCCTGGAGAGGGTGCAGGGGAACACAAAATGTTCGAAAGGATCCTTAAAAACAGCAGGGCTGGGTTGGGTTGGTTTGGGGCTTTTGGCTCTTTTTTGTTTGTTTCATTTGCCATGAAATTTATCCATTTCATCTAATATCATCTATTACCAGCATGGTAGTCCACAGAGCTGCATATAACAGCAATTTCTTGTCTCCTTTGGAGAAAGGATGATTGGATCAGGTGAGGGAAAAGTTCATCATCTCTACATAAACCACTTTGTGCCAATCGTAGTTCCACACAAAATCCTATGCACATGGCGTAAATTAAACTTGTAAGATCCTCACTGTGACTGAAAATTGCCCAAAGGGATCCCAAATACAAATGTTTACAACAAAAAATTTATTTAAAATATCCACTTTGCAAGCTGAAATCTTAAAGAGCTTGATTATTCTCCAAATTTTTGTATATAAACAAGCAAACTCAGCAGTAGGTTTGCAAAGAATGAATTTCAGACAAAATCTACTTCACAGGAATTCAAACTCTAAACAGAAAAGGATTACATAGCTACTGTATCACTTGGATTAAGGAACCGCTTCAGACATTAGCCAAGTCACTATTCTGCGAAAAAACTCTGTTTGTTTAAAAACCAAAAACACACAGGAATAGGAACTAGCTAACCTCCTGGTGGCATTTTTTAATTCCATCACATTTAGGACTAGCCCAGAGAGTAAATCAGTGGTCCTTTTCTAAACAAGAACTTCAAAGAAAAACATCTTGAAATACAAACTAGTTGTGCCAGAGTCTGGTGGTAGTGATAATCTAAATTCTAGGTGCAGTTCTGTAGCCAGTTTACCCTTGCAAAGAAGGAACTGCCACTAGGAGGGAGATGCCCTGCCCCTCCACGTGGCCGCTCGCCCATTCCCATGTGTGCCAGCACTACTGTTCATGCAGCTACACAGTGAGTCAGGTCAGGGAAACGATCCATCTGAAAGTTAGCTGGGAAAATAAAAATAGATTCCTTTTCATCCAGATAAATTTCCTGGCATGATTCACCATGTCACCATTATGAGCACAAGTGACAACACAACAGAGCAAGAAGAGAACATGACACTTTCCCCATTTCAGCAACAGATTCCACTTAACATAAATTTCAAGCAAACATGGAACAGCATCTATCAGGGGCAAGTCCACAAGCTTCTAATTAAAATACAGTAGTTGCTGCTGTTTCTCAAGAATAAACTTGTTCAGAAAAGTATCCAGTGTGTTAGTCAGCATACATGACTGGCATGGTATTATAAAAGCCAGCACAGTTCAAAACAAAGTGAGTGAATACTAGATTTAAAGTAAAGCAAAAGATGCTACATGAAAGCACAATATTTTGTAAGTATTTTCATGTGCATAGAAATTATATCACTAATCCATCTACACAGTTTCATCAGGTCAAAAGTGTGCAAGCATAGGTAGAGATGTTGTCATGTTCCTATGGATTACTCTTTCCCAGTGATCATTGTTCAGTAGTTTCCTTCAGTCTCTCTGGAAGACACGCCACAAAAGAACTAACCTTAAGATTTTTCCATCTTCTTAACAACTCCTCCCTTCGTATGACCTAAGTGATTTAACCTCTTCCTCTGCAACATATCAGGAGGATAAACGAAACCCAAAAAATCTACTGCTTCTCCTTCAGGCTGAACTTCAACTATTAGATTCATTTTACTTCCTATATAAAAATTATATTTTAATTACATAAAATCATATTTTAAAAAGCCTGAATACCATAATGTAAGGCACTCAAAAGTTTCTCAAGGATAAACAAACTCACATTCAGGAAGTCTCTGAGGTGAATAACAATACTATTTCCATTTTATCTGAGGGAAACTGTGACTTGGACAAATTTAGGTTCCCACAACACTGAGTGCCAAATTTAAGACACTGTTGGCCCAATTTTTTACATAATTTACCATCTTACATGTCTTTCTTCATTACAGACACAGTTGTCCCCAAGTTTATCTCAACGAAAAGCATAGAGCACTTGTATCCAGTAGCACTCAAATCTCTTGCTGATGGTGTGGTTCTCAGTATCTAGGCCCAGTTAGCAGCCATTTATGAAGACTATTCTGTTTCAGTAACTTTCTTAGCATGACAATGTTGATTAAAGCCCATTAGGAAGCTATGCTCACTAAAATATTTTACACTTCAACTGTTCAAATATGAATAACTTGGGATTATAGAGTTTCGAATTTCAATGTAAAAATGGTAACAACTAATGAAACTGGATGCTACTATATTGTAATTAAATATTTTTGGGAAGACTACCCTCAAAGTCAAGACAGTCATCAATTTGAAAACGAACTTCTACATCTACCTAGAAAAAAG